ATCAAGGGGTGGCAGGTTGTCTAGGTATTAGCGTCCCCTTCTGCATTGCATTAAGAGCACTTCATGCATCCTTTTACCAAGTAGTGGAGTCTGCTTCGCTTCTCACTGTTCATATCGGCTCCCTTATGGTTCTTCTCTGAAGTGGAAGTGTTTTTTCATAATTTCCATTCCAGCTTGTCCTTTAGCATATTACGTCATCCATCAGAAATAAAGGGAAATCTGAAAAACGAGCCATTTTTCATAATCTTCATGAATAGCAAATAAGTGAAATTTTGAAATCACATTATTTTCACTTCTATTTAACTAATATTCTATTCCATGGCAGGTTACGACGTGCAATATAATCACAAGAATGTCAAACACAAGTAAAGCTCGGATGCTTAAGTGAGCTTGTGACACTTGCTTCTCCTAATTTCTTCTGAGAGTCATCACAATTCTAATGACTAGTCCTCCCAATCACTTCTCACGTATTTTCCTGTATTCGGTCCTTTTGAATGAATGTTGCGGTATTTTTATGATCATCTCAGACATAATTGGTATCAAAATATCAAAATGGTTAACTCCTCAGTACGGTAGACTGCTAATTAGCTTTCGCTGTAAATCACAGTGATAAACTAAGAATTTGTCCAACTACGATTCCAACAATAATTTAGTGATAAAAGGAGTGCCAAAAGGAAGCTCTCATTAAGTTAGTCAATTATTTTGGATATCAGTGATTATAGCTTTAACGTGATAGATTATCAAACAGTAGTCTGCTCTTTCTAATAAAGTTGCTACTCCTTTTGGAGTCTGCTTCTTTTTCTTAATTTGTTAACTACGAGCCTAGGCAACACGAGTATATGGTTTTGCAAGTTTTCGCTCCAGTCTTATGCCTTTTTGGATGCTGGAATGAGGTGACGTTAGAATAAATAGCAAACAAAATTTTATCTACAAGTGAATTCTATGTTTTTTCATTTTTCTTTCTATTCTTGATTACTGCAGAAGATTGCTATCTTGGACGAAACTGAGAAAACGTTTCTTGAGTCGTTGTAGCTGGGAGAAACTTGTTTGAAAAAAAAAAAACCGCGTTGTGAATCTTCTTAACGTACAAAATTCTACTTAAATCTGTTGGGAAAATTTTGCATTTACTACCCTAAATTTCAGAATGAAATCGCTAGTTCCACAATTCTATTGATGATCTGGTAAATTGAATTTTTCACCAGAAAATTTCGTTGTTCCCGCGATTTCTTTATCTAGCACCACTTCATAATAAGCCTCTAAATCGAATTAGTACATAAATGTTATATGGCGAAATTCTAGGTGTTTTGGTGTGGTTCGTTGCGATTTCTCATCGTCTGAGTCAAGTTTGTTCCTTTCATCGCCACTTCTGCTCGTTTTCGAGCACTTCCATACTACGCCCTTACCTTTGTTGAGGGCCCTTGTTGTTTATAAGCCTTTTCTCCGGAAAGTGCACGTTGTTTTATCGGCACTAAGGATGTGTGCTAAGTTCCGAAATCTGTAACCTAAACAAAAGGCTCATCGGGTTACATTCGCCAGCGAGTCACGAGCTCCGCAAACCATCGAACCGTGCGATTAGTTCGGCTTTCACCTTAATTCCTCTACATCATACTATCATATATGTCTTCTTTGAATTAACCACCTTAATGAGCAATATGTTCTACACAAAATGAATGCATTACCATGTCTCGGCACCTCAGAGAATGTACTGAAACTTATCCTAGAAAGGGTCAATCAATTACAGCGCTTTATTCTAATATCTTCGCTATGCTCTTGCTGAAAACTGAATAATGAAAAATTGCTGAAACCGCGTCGTAGAATATCTGTTTTTTCCCCTTTATGGAATATGTCTTCCAATATCCAGTCTAAATTTGCATCTATATTTTGCAATTTGAAAGGAAAGACTTTTGAAAGGATAGTGAAATTGGTTTGCTTAGGGCGCGGGATGGAACCAAAAATTGCGTGTGTATTGTAACGCAACGTTGATTACTACGCTTAAGAAGTTCTAATACAGTGTATAGACCTTATAGCCGAGTAACGTTTTACATTTGAGCGGTGCCTCATCAAAAACGATTCGACTCGAATGACAGTGTATTAGATGACCACAACGAGATCAACGTTTGTAGGTAATCGACTCGAATCATCGGCTCTGAAGAAGGTGAAGACGTCGATACCTTCGTCACATGAATTTATTTGGTTAACTTTGTGCTAGTGGCTTGATCAAGAAGGAATATAGGCCTTATGTTGTTGCAAAGTAATATTCTACTGCTGACACCAATTGCTTGCGAGAGCATGACAAACACCTTTTTGAAGCAGTACTTTGCGCAATTTCTGGTAGTTTCTACACTGTGATAAACTGGTAGCGGGATCGTTTTTCCATCACCATTATCGCATAATTAAGGGAAAGAATAATACAGCATTACGTTTTATTCTGACATTCGACTTGCTTTTTCCGAGTGGAAACTGGCTGAAAGGACAGCATTCAAAACTTTTCTGCGTTGTAAAATGTGGCCACTAAACATTTCTTGGTAGCTTGTCAACGCCATTCTTTGAAACTCTCAAAATTTATATACGAACCAAGGCAATTCGACCTCCAGCTTGTTGGAAGTGATATGATAAAACTTTAATGAATACAGCTGATATTCCGCACGCCTTATACGTATGGCAACAATGACAAGCTATATTGATTCTGTTTCTGTATTACTATTTATCCAACATAGTTCTCGCTCATAGCGACTGTGTAACATCATCAATATACGAGACAGATTAATTACCTGCAGCACTTGGTTTCTCGTTAATGATCGTGCCCCGGACATATCCATTTATCACAACCGTGATCCAGAAGCGTTCAGCCGGTTCCTTTGCGCCAAACAAAAGAAGACTTCATCCTTTTTCCAAGAGCTTCTGAGATCTGTATGACTATTGTATAATAGTAAGTGTTCTAAAGGTCAACAATCATACTGTCCATCTAGGAGTAGCCATGACAAAGGTTAAAATCTGCAAAGCCATAGACTTCAACGACCTTATTTTTAGGAGCATCCTCGATCTATGATATTGCTCATTACGCTTTGTGTAATGTGTCGGTCGCTCTTTCTTCTCATAGGCGGCACCTATCTGCATGTCTCAGCTTCAGATGTCCACGCAGTAAAAATTTCGACGTCGTAAAAGCGATATTACATGCTCCTCATCTTCTTTACTGTTTTTCTAGTTACTGCTGTTCATTTCTTGATCATCAATAAGACCAGTTGAGGGTGTTCGACAATAGTCTTTTTCGTTCACTGAGTCACATGCTCGCAACAAAACTTTTTCTCATGACTACCGTTGTCTTCGGAGCCACTAGTGAGCGATCCCATTACCCTCACTCATGAAGTTGGTAAGAAAACACATCGATGTATCGCTGGCTAACAGTGTTGTCAGCAGTGGCGCAGTGACTGGGTAAAATTCTCTTCTGTTTAATCGTTATTCTCATTTTCTTATTGTCATTCGTCAGTGCTTTCAAATGACGTGTTAGAATCGAGCGCTGATTTGGAGCATGTTCAACCTTCGAGCGTTTTCCCACGGTCTTTTACGTGATTATATGATACAGCAAAATTTCAATCGCTAACATTCGAAACTTACACGTCGATATGCCATCTGTATGAGACAAGCGATGTGAAACAATAGCCCCTTTTCCAGCTTTGAATCTGCAAATCTCAGTTCACAGTTACTTACCAGTTAATCGTAAAAGCTGTTCTAATCTGGGATTTTGTTGCACCGCAAAAAATCCTGATTTTCTGAAAAAGCCATAATCCCAAGGCTTGAATTTCAAAAATAAAAGCTAATGAGGAAACAGCATTTCGTTCAGAACGGCACAATAGTGTTTCATTATGTTTCGCTTGAAAAAATTTCACAGCCACTAATTCGTAGAAAATTCCAGAAACTTCAATGTCAATGCCGATTATTTGAAAGTGTTAGCTTTGAAATGTCTAAGTTCAAAAGGATTTTATATAAAAACCGTGTGTGCAATCAAAATGCTTGGTAATCATTTTTGAGCTATGCATGTGGCCTGTTATGGGCACTTGTATGGCCCAATGCACGCATTTTGGCCATGGCAGACTCGTCAATGGGGCAGGCCCTTCGTCTTTAGCTAATCCTCTCGGAGTAACCTAACCCCCTACATAGAGAAGGCTCAGACGAAATACCGAAACACGTGTATTGGGCAGTAGGAGTGCCCATAACAGACCACATGCATGGCTCAAAAAATGATTAGCAAGCATACTGAAATTTGAGCGTGGTTTCAAGAAAACACTTTGGACGAAAGGTATGTGCGCCCTATCGTTGTATTATGAGACAATTTGTTCTACAAATCCTTGAAGTTCTCAGCTATTCAAATACCCTAGTGATCGAGAATTTATCGTGAGGTATCGAAAAATTAGCTTCTTCATAAAAGGGTCTGAGAATTGACAGGACCTTTTTTATCCTCGAGTATAGTCCAGGGCTTTTCATAAGCTTTAGATTTTCATTTATGGCTAGCAATTTGCTAATTTTCTTACGATCTATGGATACGAAATGATGTATTTTATGATGTACTCTTATGCTATTCCATTCAGCTTTGCTATTGTGTATATAAGATTAGTTGATTCTCTTGCAAAACCGGACCAAACCGGACTATTCATCCTATGTACTGTCTTGTTGGTTCTTGTTAGACAGAAAACTTGCATTGCGAAACTAACGCTCGAAAATTGAATAAATATACGTGAACAACGTCTGAGTTAGACTAGTGGAAGCATAGATCATTCTGCTAAAAAGTCTGTGTTAAGCGCCTTTACAAAATTGGCGATGTTACGAAGAGATTTGTCAAATGCGCTATCGATTTTCACAGCTTCCTAAAGATACAGAACACAAGAATGCTACGGTGCAATACCAATTTCAACATCTAATCAGAATTCATTTTATTTGACCGCGTATTGCGGTGGTATGATGTGACAATAAACCCAATAATGTACGGTGATGTGCAAAAACATTTGCGTCAGCCGGGATTCGATCCCAGATCTCACTCTTTTCGGGAGCGTGTGCTGAACCATTGCACCACCGAATTCCAACTTTTTTTACAGACTAGTTTTATCCATAAAGGCAGAGTACGATGTGAAGTGTAACCACAAAAGTACTGTAAAAGATACGAGCAAACTTGGAACATAATATTTTCTTATCCTGGATCTCAACCACTTTTCTGAAACATCTCGCACTCGTACAACACCATAATTCTTTGCATTGCCTTTCTCTCAGCCGTCTTTTAACCTATTCTCTGGCTGTCAGCAATTAGCCTTAAACGAGACTAATCTAAGAAGCACAAATCGACTCTAAAATTCAAAGAAACCAAAGACGTGGTTGAATTTACAAATTTGGCACTTTTTTACTCTCCAATTTCATTCTTAACGACAAAACAGAAGTAAACTATAAAGCACAAGAGACAGCTGAGAGAATGATAGAGCGAGGGTTTCAATGGTGCAGTGTGAGCAAGCACTGCCTGGAAAGGCATATGGTAGCCATCCTAGTGCATGAAGTAAAAATATGATGTTCAAGGTTTTGCTCGTATCTTAGCACTATTGTGGCCACGTTTGATACAACTTGCGATTTATGTGTACAACTTTGCTGATTCGTGTGTCATCTAGTCTATCAATCCAGCAACGTTTCAGAGTCGTCTAGCACGGACAGTTACTTTAGGAAGATTTTAAATGAAATTTCGACGTCACCTTCATCAGATCCACGATAATTCGATTAAAGTGTCTGCAGCAGTTCATTTTTGCGATTTCGGCATTTGTTTTCAAATTCACCTTAAGTTCAATACAATGAAGTGGTGTACTACTTGAACGACCTTTAGCAGAATGAAAATTTGCTAGCAGACTGTCAGCCTGTTCTGATAAGAGACCAATAGTTTTCATTGGCATCGTTGCTGGTTAGCATTTCAATAAGAAATTCTTGAGCCTTATAACCCTGCTAAACTGCAGATTTACCCGAAAACTGAACGTCTCCTTTGGTGGCAAAATGCCTGCACTAAAATAATTGCCTCCGCACTCGTTTCTAACCGGGGGTCGTCAGCAAATCTCCACCTGTCACACCATCTCACTAGCAGTCGACATCGGCTCGTCTTTACGCCTTTACTAGCAGATCACAGTAAATCGACCTTTAATAACGTTTACGCGCTGTTTCTCAAGTTACATCTATCTTCTCTTATTCGTTACATTTTTCCAACTTTCTCTCCTGTCTTTTTTCCTTTTCAGCTTTTTTTTCAAGCTCTTGTTTTTTTCTTCGAAAAACTTATATTTTCTCTGAACTGCCTTTGAGAAGAAAAAAAAAAGGAAAAGGAAGAAAGGAAAGATAAAAGAAAACAAGGCGGGGAGAAGGAAAAAGCAGTAGTCCCGCTTGGTTTAGTGAATTGACTGCTTGCGAACCCTGTGAAAAGGCGAATCAACGGAGCCGTTTGAGGTTCCCGTTTCTCTCGTTTCTCAACCATTTGTCGTTGTATGTCACATCGTACTGTGCCATGAATAAGGGATAGGAAGATTGTGTATTATCAAAAATTTTGATTTTCATAAAAGGTTTTAAATTATTTTTATAGACACCATGAAGCAGTCCCCTTCCACGGTTTCTGGAATTACAAATCTACACTGAATTTATAAGGTTGTAATTAGACAGTGGACAAGTATGTCGTAAGAGATGACAAATAACCTATTGGAAATCACGAGATTACGCTAACACTTGTTATTAGAGGGGTGACCTCATCATGAATCCTCCAGAAATGAAGCGGATAGTGCAATGGTTACTACGCACTCCCGGAAAGAGTGAAATGCGGCTTCGACTCCCGTCTGACGTCGAAATTTGCACATTACTCAGCATTATTGGGTATATTTGTAGCATCATTACCGTTGCTTACGCGTGGTTGAGTAAAAAAAAATTTTGTTTATCAATATTTATGAGACTCTATTATTATTTTGTGTTCTTGGAAGCTTATGAGTTGCGCTCTTCACAGACTGCTTGCCTTGCAACCTCCTTTACCATGAAGGCTCCAAAAATCGCGCTTCTTCGAATCCATTGGCCCCTCCTACCGTAAGATATCTATACAATACGAACGGCTTCTTTTCTGGATACTGGCCGTCGCGTTATTTACTGAGCGATTTCTGCGACGTAGCACCGATTTTCGAGCGATTTCTGGGCGCTGCGATTAGGAATGGATGCAATCGCTTATTTGTATGTTATAATGAGGCTATGGCCGAGAATTCGACCAGCGCCCGACTCACATCTCTTTTTCAAAACTGCTCATCTGCCTCCTTTGGGAATAGAAAAAAATTCGCCGAAAATCGCATAGTAAGCGCGTCGTGTTCTACTTTCGACTATAAGGTTTCTGCCACCATAAAACTCTTCGTTCAATACACCATCATTAACTCTTCACTCTTATACGTTGACTTTTGTTATACTGGTTTTTGCTTCATACTTTATTGTACTATTCAATAACAATAGAAAAGTGGTGAAAGAAAAACTTTTTATTGTTATGTTGTAGTGATGGACTAAAGACGTGAAGCTAGTAGATTTATACCTCAAGCATAAGAATCGGCCTAACCTTTCCTGAGTCTCTGCGATTCAAGGCCTATCCAAAGACAATAATTGATTGAGCTATACCTTTTGCTGCTAGCGTTTTTGAGATCTCGCTCAAAACAGTATAATCTGATAACAAATTTCAAATCTTTCATGAGCTTTTAAGTCACTTATATAGTGTAAGACACGTGTTTCAGTATTACAGCCACGTGAGTCGCGCAGTGTCTTTCAATTCACTCAGTTCCGCGGAGAGATATCCTCTCTATAGAGGAGGCGACGCCGAAATGTTTAGTGACTGACGAGACTGTAATGCTCAAACACGTGTCTTGCACTGTATAGGTGCCATAACAGATTTAAGCGATACTTTGAGGAACTACCGAAAATCTAGTAGCATTCCGTGCTGTCTTAAAATTCCAAGCTCTCCTACTCTAACAGGTTTGAGGCTGCTGTCTTATTTTTATATTCTCAGGAGGGAATGAGTTGTTGTAATATTGTTTTTCATAGAGTTCTTATAAGCTTTGTAATTTGATTCTGTGCTTTCCTATTTAACCTTACTCATCTCGCTGACAAGACATCTCTAGCTGCGATCTACAATGACTTTCTGAATTTCCTTAAGGACGACAACTCCAGCATTGTAGTTTGCACCTGCGCTTAGCAAATTTTTAGATACAAAGCAAATTGCTTTTATTGAACGTATAGCGTTCCCGATGCACTTTGTTGACTGTTACACAGTTTGCCAGAACCGTCGACGATGTTGTTGTATCGTGAGACTCCCCGTTGATTTCCCACAACCACAGCCAGCTTTTCTATGTTTCAGATACCAAATCCTTTTGAATTTTGTTATTGTTTGAATGAAAGAAAGAATGCCTTCATACTCATAAAACTTTAACAATATTTTTTGTAAATTTACTTCTTTTACAAAGAAAGGAAAAGTGTAAGATGTTATCCTAAGAGAACAAATTCTCGAATACCGGTTGCAGAGCCAGAGGTTGTAGAAAACTTCTAACTTCAATTCTGTTCACGATGTGTTTGCTCACAATTTCTGTTATTAATTTACTCAACTCTTTGTAATTCAGTGCCATGGTAAAGCAAATATTGGTACTTTTCCGTTATGTGCCCACTATTTCAAAGCCTTTTTCTGAATAAAGCTTATTTTGCTCTTGTTTTTGATGTTTTATGCAGCTAGTTGTGTTAATATACGTCATTACCATAGATTTTCGTCACCGTTGCCAAATTTTCTTTTTTTCGGTTTAAATTACAGGCCTATACACGTGTTTCTGAATCTGTAAGAGAACATTTGCCCTAAAAACTGCCCTTTTCTGTTCTAAACGTCATACTCACTCATAGGATCCAATATCATATATCATATTTGTAGTCTTCAGCTCTTCCTTGGTTTGATTTGTTTCTCCGCATCCACCACCAACAAAAGTCTTTGAGCGATGAAGATTGTCTTCTTGCCCGGATTTTATCGTCTATGCCATGAGCGTTTGTGAATGCTGGAGGATTTTTCTGCTTGGAATCCTGAGATAGCGTGCTCAGGCGTCTCCATGTTGGTCAAAGAGAGTGGAACCGATCCCAGATAAACTAATTTTTCTAGACGTCAAGAGTTGGAAGGCTTAATCAACTCGGTGCGAGGTTAGAGCAGGCCTGAGTAGGCTGCCCTTTTGCGTAGCATCACTATCACTGCTCTGCTAGCCTATTAAGACCATTAAATGTGTCAGTTAACGTTACGGTTCTTTCTGATTATAGGGGGACAAATGAAAAGCCGACCTTATTCGCTGGAGAGGAACTTCTTATAGCACTGTTAGTAATCATTCGAAAACTGAGACTTCAGGCTACAACCCCATTCGCAGTTTTTGAAAAAGACTTTTGACGTTACTACAGAAGGAGATTTCTTGCATTGCAGATGTACATGTTTCTCACAGGGCAGAGCTCTTTCTTTGGACTGTTAGTATTCATTCAATAGCGTAATTGTCCTCAAAAGACCGTTTCTCTGAAGCAAGCAGGTAAAATAAGATGAATCCATTTGATCGAAAGAGTCTTTGGCCAGTTCACGTGCGGGTTGCTGAGGCTGCCACGTTCGCTAGCTCGATGATCGATAGACCACCGCACCTACGACGCGGCTCCAGTGCACGTCGAATTGACTAAAAGCTCCCTTGATCGCAGATGGAAACTCAACTTGTTTTACCTGCTGCGTTTCACAAAAACGGTTTTTTCAGGATATAAGCACATCGTTGGAGTCAGAAACGATTACGCTATCGTATGATTGATTATCAATAGTTCAAAAAAGAACTCTGTCCAGCGAGAAGTATGCGCGTCTGAAACGGTCTTATGTGGATTTTACAGCGCTATAAAAGGGTCTTTTCGAACACCGGCGATGTGAAGATGCAACCAAAAATCCAAGCTTTCCAATGGTTGCTAACACTCCTATAGAAACTTCTTCTCCAGCGAATGAGGTGGCTTTTCATTTGTGCCCTTATAACCAGAAAGAACCACGTTACTTTTACG